GTGTCGATCTTGGGTGTAGAAGCAGCTTTTGATGGTGCATTAAATATTGATGCAGTTGTTGATGAGGATGTTGCCAAACTTGAGGAATTTGTTGGGATTTTGAATGATGAGGCAATCGAGGTTGTTGTTGGATCACCAAATGGTGATGATATAGCTGTGAATGTTCCCGAGAGTGGTGCTGTAAAAGGATTGGAAAATAAATTTGAGGATGAGGTTGTTGAAAAACTGGTGCTTGTTGAATTACCAACTAAATTTACAGATGGTGCGCCAAATGGTGATGGTCCTGGTCCTGGTGATGGTGTAGTGGTGGTTTTTGGTGCGCCAAATGGTGATGGTGATGGTCCTGGTGATGGTGTAGTGGTGATTTTTGGTGCCCCAAATGGTGTAGTTGAAGTTGATGGTGCGCCAAATGGTGATGATACAGCTGTGAATGTTCCCGAGAGTGGTTCTGTAAAAAGATTGGAAAATAAATTTGAGGATGAGGTTGTTGAAAAACTGGTACTTGTGGAATTACCAACAAAATTTACAGATGGTGCGCCAAATGGTGATGGTTTTGGTCCTAGTTCTGGTGATGGTTTTGGTCCTGGTGATGGTGTTGTTGTGGTTTTTGGTACGCCAAATGGTGATGGTTCTGGTGATGATTCTGGTCCTGGTTCTGGTGTAGTTGTGGTTGATGGTGCCCCAAATGGTGATGGTGTAGTGGTGGTTAATAGGGTTGTTTCCAAACAAGGTGAGGTTTTTCCGCCAAAGATATTTGTTGTTGATTCTTTTTTATCTGTTGGATTACCAGATAAGTTAAAACTTGAAGATGAACTGGTTTCTGATTGGGTTGTTGTTGATACTGGTGTAGATGTTGAAACCTTTTGATATCTGTATGATGGAACAAAAGTGTATGGGTATGGTGAGTTTGGTATTGTTGGTGAAATTGGAATTGGTTTTAGTATTGGTGCTGGTTTTGGTACTGGTGGTGGATTTGATTTATAACGGTATGCGGGGGCAAAGTTACTTGGGTATGGTGTTGATGGTGATTTTGGAGATGCTTGTGGTTCTGCCATTTTAACTTTTTTTTTTTTTTTTTTTTTTTTAAGAAAAAATATACAAATAAAAAAATTAGATTTATTTCCAAAAAAAAAAAAATAAGATTTTTTAATTTTTAAAAAAAAAAAAAAAAAAAAAAATATTTCCCAAATGGAATTATTTAAAAATTGAATATAAAATTTTTTTAAAGATGGGGGTATGGGGGGGGGGAAGAGGAAAAAAAAAAATAAATGTTGTTTTTGGTATAATAAAAATGCAATGGGGGGGGGGGGAAAAAAAAAAAAATTGAACCATATGCCAGAAGTCAATCGATGCAGGGTTTCAATGAAAGAAATTAAAACTCTAAAGTTCTTAATAATAATAAATAAATAAATAAATTAAATATATCAAATAAATCAAATAAATCAAAATAAAAATATAATAAAGTTTAGTTTTTTTAAAATATAAAATTATTTTTTTATTTTTTTATATTATATTCATTTTATTTATTTTTTTAATTTAGTATTATATAAACCAATGTTATTGATGTGTTATTTTATAAAATTATAAATAAACAATATTTATATTTAGTTTTATTGGTTTTTTTAAATATTAACATTTTTAACACTATTATCTTTGTTTGCTATCCTCATAATCTTCAATGTCTTCATTGTTTTCATAATCTTCATATTCTTCGTCATCTTCATTATCTTCATTTTCCTTAATTATTTTATTTTATTTTGGGATCTGTATTTTCTTGAATTTACTCTTTCTTCCTTTGTTATTCTATCATATTCTTTAATAAAATGTTTCCAAATATTTAATTTTTCATCTTGATATTGCTTATTATAAAAATCTGATTCTCTAGCTGGTTTAGGTTTTGGTGGCTCGATTGGTGGATCTATTGTCACTTTATATGATTTCTTGAGTTTGGTCGATTTTCTTTTAAAGTAAAGTAAAAATCTTTCAATTTCAGGCACAGTTTTTTTAAAGGTCTTTAAAAACTACTTTATATTTACCTGTTATTTCATTTTGGGACAATCTACCTTTTAATGCTTTTGATAATCTCTTCATAATTTCATAGTTGTCATGTTCAAATGTTAAAGTCAAAGAGAGTTCTTTCATATTTATATGGACATGGCATAAAACTTCGTACATTCCAACTACCCAGCCATCGGTTGGGATATTTTCTCCTGTTCTCTATATTTGATATTATATAATTTACAAACTTCACTAAATTGTTTTTGCTTTTCTGGGTTTCTAAAATTACCAATATTCATAACTCTAATAATACCACTGTTGACATCCTTTAATAAAAAGCTAATAGTATTTGTTTTTTCGTCGATTTTAATTTTACCAGTTAATTTTGTCTTCATTTCATATGGTCTGCATTTTGTTGTGAAATATTTAACTTAACTCTTCCTTCTTCATTAATTGCTCAAGTACCATGGGCATCTATCATTGCACAGAGCCATTTAGTGCTATCGTTTAATTTTTTTAATTTTTTTTTGAAATTGCTTCTCTGGGTGTTTTGGTTGGTTTGTTTGTTCTAATAAATTATTTTCATTTTCCTCTTCTTTATCTTCTTTTTCCTCCTTTTGTTCTTCTTCTAGTTTATTTTGCTCCTCTTCTTGTTCCTCCTGTTCATATATCTTTTCTTGCTTTTGATCCAGATCTATCTCCTCTTGTTGAAGTTGATGATTATTAAGTTGTTCTGTAAATGTTGGTTTCACTTTTAATTTAAATGGAGATCTATTAGCATTATTTAATGATGGTTGTTCCTTTTCTTTTAAAACTGTAGTTGTATCGTTTTGATGATGGTTTGATTTTTCTGTAATTGGTAGGTTTAATTTAAATGAGGGGGTTTCATTATCATTATTTAATATAGATGGTAGTTTTTTCTTTTCTTTTAAAACTGTGTTTAGATCTTCTTGCTTTTGGTGATTAATCTATTCTGTAAATGATGTAGTTGCCTTTAAATTAAATGGTAATCTACTTGTGTTATTAAATGATGATGGTGGTTGTTCCTTTTCTTTTTGATTATGATCTGATTTTCTGTAAATGATGAATTTTCTTTAAATTTAAATGGGGCTCTATTAACACTATTTATAGTTAGTGTCTGTTTTTCTTTTTCTTTTTCTGCTTCATCTTTTTGATTTTGATTTTGATTTTGATTATGAGATGTTAATGGTTCCTTTAGTTGTTTAAACCTATTTAAGAGCTTAACTTTATTATTATCTTTATTATTTAGCTTATTGTTATTATCATTACTACTATTTTTTTTACTACTTTTATTTTTATAATCTCCATTTGTTGTATAGAATTGTTGTTGTTGTAGTTGAAGTTGTTGTCTTACTTCGAAAGCCTTGGTAACGCTATTAATCTGCTTTTAGTAAAACCAACGTCATTTGATTATATATAGTTTTACTGCTCTTGGTGTTAAAAATAAATAGAGTTCTTGTGTTGCTGTACTACCATCAAAATTAAATAATCTACATCGCCAAATGTTAAATTAAATAATATGCATATTCTCTTTTATTGAGGCAGAGTTATTATTTTTTTTAAAGAGAAAAAAGTTTCATACTGAAATACATGACTTTTGGTAAAATATTGACAATATTTTATATCTAATGATTTTATTTAGAATAATGTTTTTTTTTTAAGATCTAAAAGTGGGTATTTATCGATTGGACCCAATTCATCTTTGCTGAATATTCCTTTTTCCCATTCACTAAACCAAGTCTGATTAACCAATGCCCATTATATTGAAATATTGGTGTCGAGTTAATACAGGACTTTTAACTATTCATCATCTTTTTTAAATATATATATATGCTCTTCATTATCATATTCATAAAATTGATAAAATATTAAATAAAGATCGCTTCTATGTACTTCTCTATGGATATTATCTTTAATAACTACTAAATTACTTGGTCTATAATCAACTTTGTTTTTATTAATATGGTGAACATGTTCGTTTGGTTCAATGGGTCTTCCAATTTTTTTTTCGGCTACAGTACTGTGGGTGTATTCCTATTATTATTTTTATTATATGAAGAAATATAATTAAAATTGAATAACTATATTACCCATCCTCCATCATTTGCTTGGTATTGACGATATCCACTTTTGTTATGTCTAATATTAAGATTATTGTTATTTGACATTTTATGTTTAAAATGATTGATTTAATATAAAATAAAAATTTTTAAAAAAATAAGAAATTAAAAAATAAAAATAAAAATAAAAATAAAAAAAAAAAATAAAAATAAAAAAAAAAATAATTGTTTTAAAAAAAAATTTATAAAAAGAATTTATCTTTATCTTTATTTTAAGGCAGCAGTTATTAAATTAATGAAATCTGGATGGTTATAGAGAAAACCATCAATTGAACGCACATAGCGGATTGACTAAGATCAGAACTTGTGTCAATTGATAAAGTTTTTTGGAAGCTGCCGGATAGGAACTATTAAATCATTTCTTCTAATGAACCATTAAATCTTTTCTTCTTCTAAAGCCATTCGATGATACCATAGTTGCTTGGCCAGAACAATGTCTGATATTCATCAAATAGTTGATTAGAATGAAAAAATTCTTTGGTGTTGATTTAATTGAAGGTCTTTTACTTTAATTGGATCTTTACCTTCATGGATTTTGAAAATATTTGATAAATTCTTCTAAGTCTTTTTTTTTTTTATTTCTATGGAACAGGTTCTAATTTTTTTTTTTTTTTTTTTGATTCATTTTTAATTTTATTTTATTATCTAATTTATATCTACTAAGATATGTGGAGGTTGATGTTGTAGTGGTGACCACTATGGTGGTTTATTTTGATGATCTTTGTATCTATTATCAAAATCTAAAAAAATAGTTAGAAACTACATTACTACTGATATAATATTTAAATAATGAATACAATCTGATACCTACTATTTTTTTGAAAATTTGATATTCTTCAAAAAGTTTTTTAGTCTTTTCAAAATCAGTTTCAAATTTTCTTTGTTCAAATAATTTTTCTTGACCATCATTTAATTTTTTTAATTTTTTTTCATTATTTTTTATTAATAATTCAAATGAAAATCTATATAATTTTGTTAAATAATAGATACTAAAATGATAAAATAAATGTTAATATTTATAATAAACAAATATAAAGATATATAAATAAAAATTGAAAAACTTACATCATTGAGGTAAATAATGAATATACTAAACAAATTGCCTTTTCAGACAAAGTGTTACTTGTTAAAGCAAACTCTTGATATAAAAAAGTTGCTAATAATAATTCGATAATAAAAAAATAAATAATAAATTTATTATTATTTTTTACATAATGATTATTAAATATTGATTTTTGGTGATTTATTAAATTATTTTTTTATTTTTTTTTTATTTTTATTTTTTTTTTTTTTTAATAAATTAATTTATTAAAAATTATAATCCATTAATTTTTTATAATGATTTAAAAAATTTTTTAATTTAAATTTTTTAATAAAAACTTTTTATTTCAATTTTATTTTTTTTAATTTTTAAATTTCATTCCAAAAAGAAATTTTTTTTATTTTTTTTCTTTACTTCATACAAATAATAATTTATATTTATTTATTTATTATAACAATCAACACAATAATAATAATTTAAAATAAAATGATTGGTTATATAGTTTTATTTATCCTTCTTAGTTTAGTCCTCGGTTTTTTATCTGGTTTTTTATCCGGTTATGTCCCATTTATATTTTCAACCAATAAAAACAATAATAACAACAATAATAACAATAGAAATAACATTGGCAAAGATTATTTACACAGATATAACACCTACATCTACCCACAACAAACTACACCAATCTTTTATACTGCTCCATCAAATAGACCACAACCATCACAAAATCAAATCTCACAACCACAACAAAATCCACAAACACACCCACAATACACTCAAACAACTCAAAATAATTTTGCTCGTTTACATAATCAACAAGACCACCAACAACAACAACAAAAAAGCTCTCAACACAATCCATTTTCAAGGGCTAAATATTACCATAACCCATCCAATAACCAAAGTTATGGTTCTGATATTATTTTAACAACCGGTGCACATCAACAACACCCACAATCATCAGAAAAAATTAGTATAGAAATGGAGAAAATGGCAGAAAAAGAGAGATTAGAAAAAGAAAGATTAGAAAAGGAACTTTTAGAACAAAAACAAAAAGATAACGTATGTAATATATGTTATTTTGAAGTAGGGGCCATTTATATGGTAACATTAGGTTGTAACCATAAACTTTGCTTAGATTGCATTTATAAATGGTCTAAAAATTGCCCATTTTGTAGAAAAAAAATCACTTCCTTTAAAGTAAGTAATTCACACATTCATATTTATACTTCATAAATAAAAAATATATATTAATTTATTTCTTTATTTAATTTTAGACTGCAGGCGAAACAATTTATCTTGATGATTCCGACGATGATTAATCCAGTGGTGACTCCATTCATTCAGAAAGTCGCCTAACTCCTGATTCTGTATTTTTTATAGACTTAATAATATCAGATACACTTGAAATCGATGGCAATTAAATTAATAGTTTAAATACTTCATTCATTGTTTCCTTTAATGAAATAGGTGAAGAACTAAATATTAGTTAAATTGTTTCATTCCCAGTAAGTTTCTAGATATTATATAAATTACAGTTTTCCAAATCATCCTAAACCTCCCAAAGGAATTCTAAAATTAGTCACATATACATCAAGATTTAAATAATAAATATCGCAACATACAGTTTAGTTCTACAGAAAAAAGCAAGAAAAAGTTCAAGAAAATGTTCCAGTTCAACATAGCAATATCAATAAGTTTTCATTTAAAGTTTCTAATCTTACAATAGGGTTTTTTCGATCTAATATTCAACAACAAAGTGCACGAAAATCTTCAGGGTAACCATAGCTCAAAATCAGGGCCACATTTTTCTTTTCAAGCTCACAACATTTTATTTCACTACCACCGCCTCATTCCTTCAACTAAATCACCATTTCAAAATAGTTAAAGTCTTATCCCAGCAGTATAAACACCTTTACAACCATTTCATCAACAATCGAACAAAATCAGTAATCGAGCAATATAAACACACTCAAACTCATAACCTAGCAGTATAAACACCATTTACAATCATCACATCAACAATCACACACAAATCCGTAATCTAGCAGTATAAACACCATTTGCCACCATCACATCAAAAATCGTACTTAAAATAATAATCAATCAGAATTGCCGCACTAATTCACAATACACTAAAAACATATATAAACTATATAATCATGCATAAACCTTCAATAATAATCAAAAGTATGTATATATTAATGAATAATCAACTTATAAAAAAGAATGAAGATACAAACAGAATTATTAACCAGATTATTTATAGTGTTTTATTTTTTAAATTTTTTTTTTTAAAATTTTTTTTTTTTAGTTTTTTTATTTCATATTTTTATTAATTAATGATGATTAAATATATAAATAAATAAATAAATATTAATTAATTAATTAATAGGCGTGTATTACTTTTAATTTTATATAATTTTATTTTATTTTATTTTATTTTATTTTATTTTATTTTATTTTATTTTATTTTATTTTTGTATACTGTAGAGATATTATTCTTCCATTTTCTTCATTTTCACTACTATCTTCTGTTTCATTATCACCATTACAATCCTCTTCTTCTTCTGCATCAATATCTGAATCATTAATAAATTCTTTTCGTCAACCCAAAGAATGTCTTGAAAAATTAGTATCTTCAATCTCTTCATCTCCACTATTGTCATTGTTATTGTCATTTAACATATTCTCCTCTTCTGATGTTGATATTGAACTTTTGACAATAGATGATTTAAAATTACAACCATTTTCTTTTCTACTGAGTCTAATTGATAGATTTAAAGTATATAATACTAGTAATAATGCATCCTGTTGCTTTTGAAGGTTACTCTTCCAAATACCACTGAAACAACCAAATCTCTTGAGTATTCCAAATACATTTTCAATAATAATTCTTTTTCTTTTTATAAATGAGTTTTCTAGCTTTTCTATATGAGTCATTGATCTATCTTTTGGTTCAAAGTGTGGAATTAATATTTTACTCTCTTCACCTCTATATCCTTTATCACCAATAAATCTTTCACCAGGTTTCATATATACTTTTCCCAAACCTGATCTAAATATTGAAATATCGGCTGCAGGTGCTTTAAAAGGACCATTAACCCATAATACTTAACCATCATATAATGAACAACCAACTTCATATTTCACACCTCTATGGCCATATTTTGGATTAAAAAATGAATTATCTTTTGTATTAGTTCTTAAAAAAGTTGTATCTACTGCTAATGTTAAAAAAGGATCATTTGAATGTAAATTTCCATACTCTGTTAAATCTTTAATTTTTTGTTCAAATCTATTTGCCAATTGAGACTTTGAAAATAAAATTAGTAAAAAGAAAACAAAAAATATAAATATATTGTTATTGTTATTTTTTATATATATAGTTCTTACTTGAAAACTTAATTGTTTAGCGGTTTCAATAACTTTCCAAACATGGTCCCCATATGTTCTTGAACTAACATTGAATTTCTCTGCTTTTTCTTCAAAAGTTGTATAATATCTTAAATAATCAAATTATATGCTCTTCATTAATACTATCGTCAATTGAATATAAATCTGCCCATAATTGATTAATAACTTCTTGTGTAAAAACAAAGTGTTTTTTAAAAATATTTTATTACAGAAATTTTTTTTTTTTTTGTCAAACTTAGACTAATTTTTTTCCCTATTTTTTATTAATAGCTCAAATGAAAATCTATATAATTTTGTTAAATAATAGATACTAAAGTGATAAAATAAATGTTAATATATATAATAAACAAATATATAGATATATAAATAAAAAATGAAAAACTTACATCATTGAGGTAAATAATGAATAAACCAAACAAATTGCCTTTTCAGACAAAGTGTCACTTGTTAAAGCAAACTCTTGATATAAAAAAGTTGCTAATAATAATTCGATAATAAAAAAATAAATAATAAATTTATTATAATTATTATAATGATAGCTCTTTGAGCTATTAAATATGGTCTCAATATTTTTAATTTTGGATTCCATAGCAATTACTTTTTTTGTAAATACAAATAAAACTATAATTAGTATTTATTTTGTTAAATAATTATAATGTTATAACATGTTATATAAGAGATAATTACCTTTTTGAAAAAAAGCTACCTATTTTTAGATTTACCTATTGTAAAGAAGGGTAAAAAATGTATGAATGTAAAATAAAATATATAATATTTATATATAAAATTATTAAAGCTATTGGCGGAAGAGGAAACAAATACTAAGCTTGGGTGGACACTGAAAGGAAGCGATAAATTTAAGCGTGGTTGGATTCAAATTGCTTTGGACTACTAGCTTGAATTTAATGAAAAATAAATTCGAAAAAAGTTTTTATATTAGAAAATGAAATAAAAAAAAAAAATTTAATTCATTTTAAAATTTCCTTTTGTAAATTTAATAGATTAGATCCAAACGGTATTCCCATTTTTGTACATTCTATTAAATTTTTAATCTGTAGCTATCATAAAAGTAGTGATCATCCGTTTATTTTTTAAACATATTTACCAAATAAAAAAATAATTCAATTAAAAAAAATTAAATTATAACCCCATTATTATAAAGAATGGCTAATATATTTGGATAATGATTAATAAATATTTATTTTTTTTAATTAAAAATGAAAATTACCAATTTTATAAATCATTGTGATCTGAATTATTCAAATAAATATAATGATGCCAACTTTTTAATTAAAACAAAAAAAAATTTATCTTTAGTGGTCAATAGTATCAATATGGAAAAAAAAAAAAAATTTTTAAAAAAAATAAAATAAAGTATAAATAAATAAATAAATTTAAAGTCATGTTGAGAAATTTTTTATTTTTTTTTTTTAATTTAATTTTTATTTATTTTAATTTTAATAATTATTTTTATCTTTTGGGCTTCTCTCTTAAACTTCATCAAATTCTCTGTGAAACCTTGATCTTGATCATAAGTTATTTCATTTGGATCATAGAAATAATCTTCATCTGTATCATAATTGATTATTTTTACTATTATTATTTTTATTGTTATTTTTTCTAATATTACGGATTTGTGTGTGATTGTTGATGTGATGATTGTAAATGGTGTTTATACTGCTAGGTTATGAGTTTGAGTGTGTTTATATTGCTCGATTACTGATTTGGGTTCGATTGTTGATGAAATGGTTGTAAAGGTGTTTATACTGCTGGGATAAGACTTTAACTATTTTGAAATGGTGATTTAGTTGAAGGAATGAGGCGGTGGTAGTGAAATAAAATGTTGCGAGCTTGAAAAGAAAAATGTGGCCCTGATTTTGGGCTATGGTCACCCTGAAGATTTTCGTGCACTTTGTTGTTGAATATTAGATCGAAAAAACCCTATTGTTAGATTAGAAACTTTAAACTGAAAACTTATTGGTATTGAAAAATATAGAATTAGTATCAACCTAAAAAAGTATTAAAGTTAAATGTTAGTTTTATATTCAAATATTATAATCATTATGTAAATATTTTTAATATAGTTACCTTATTGAATTATTAGCTGCAATGATGAACTGGAACATTTAGTATTTTCTTGAATTTTTTCTTGCTTTTATTATAATTTCAATGATTAATTTACATTAATACAGTTAATTATTTTTGTGATTACCTTTTTAATCAATAAATAGAAAGAAATTAATTTTTATATTTTATCTTTTTTTTCTAAAATGTAAACAATTTACTATTTGTTAATTTATTATTATTTTTTACATAATGATTATTAAATATTGATTTTTTTATTTTTTTTTTATTTTTTTTTTATTTTTTTTTTTTAAATTTATTAAAAATTATAATCCATAAATTTTTTAATTTAAATTTTTTTCATTAAACTTTTTATTTCAATTTTATTTTTTTTTAATTTTTAAATTTCATTCCAAAAAGAAATTTTTTTTATTTTTTTTTCTTTATTAATTTATCTTCATACAAATAATAATTTATATTTATTTATTTATTATAACAATCAACACAATAAACATTTAATTTATCAAAATCATCATAAACTAAAACACCTTCATCAATTAAACCTGGAACATAAAATTGAATATTTGCAATTTCTTTATCACCTTTTTCACAAACAAAACAAGTCCAATCCTGATTATATTCACAAGTATTATCAAATTTCCACCATAATTCATTGGAACCAACTAAAGCAGGTTGACCTGGTTTCTTTCCAGTTATAGATGAATCCCAATCAATAAAATTAAAATATCTACTACCTGAAGTATTTAAAACATTATGGCCAATATATTGAGATTTTGCAACATTGGTAATAGTAATTGATTTACTTGCAGAAATACCTTGTGGTTTAAAAACATCACCATGTGTCTAAATAGTGTTATAAGTTGTTGTTGTTGTTAATTATAATAATAATTATTTAATGATGTTATAATTTTATGATAAAAAGTAAAACTTACCATAGAAATGATAAGACGATTATCAGCCTCATCATTATTACATTTGCAATCATTTGGACTATTTGAATATTTAAAATAATTTCTAAAAATTGCCCATTTTGTAGAAAAAAAATCACTTCCTTTAAAGTAAGTAATTCACACATTCATATTTATACTTCATAAATAAAAAATATATATTAATTTATTTCTTTATTTAATTTTAGACTGCAGGCGAAACAATTTATCTTGATGATTCCGACGATGATTAATCCAGTGGTGACTCCATTCATTCAGAAAGTCGCCTAGCTCCTGATTCTGTATTTTTTATAGACTTAATAATATCAGATACACTTGAAATCGATGGCAATTAAATTAATAGTTTAAATACTTCATTCATTGTTTCCTTTAATGAAATAGGTGAAGAACTAAATATTAGTTAAATTGTTTCATTCCCAGTAAGTTTCTAGATATTATATAAATTACAGTTTTCCAAATCATCCTAAACCTCCCAAAGGAATTCTAAAATTAGTCACATATACATCAAGATTTAAATAATAAATATCGCAACATACAGTTTAGTTCTACAGAAAAAAGCAAGAAAAAGTTCAAGAAAATGTTCCAGTTCAACATAGCAATATCAATAAGTTTTCAGTTTATAGTTTCTAATCTAACAATAGGGTTTTTTCGATCTAATATTCAACAACAAAGTGCACGAAATCTTCAGGGTAACCATAGCCCAAAATCAGAGCCACATTTTTAAAGCTTACAACATTTTATTTCACTACCACTGCCTCATTCCTTCAACTAAATCACCATTTCAAAATAGTTAAAGTCTTATCCCAGCAGTATAAACACCTTTACAACCATTTCATCAACAATCGAACCCAAATCAGTAATCGAGCAATATAAACACACTCAAACTCATAACCTAGCAGTATAAACACCATTTACAATCATCACATCAACAATCACACACAAATCCGTAATCTAGCAGTATAAACACCATTTGCCACCATCACATCAAAAATCGTACTTAAAATAATAATCAATCAGAATTGCCGCACTAATTCACAATACTCTAAACTATATATAATCATGCATAAACCTTCAATAATAATCAAAAGTATGTATATATTTATAAACAATAATCAACTTATAAAAAAGAATGAAGATACAAACAGAATTATTAACCAGATTATTAATATCAAAGAATAGGTTGGAAAACAATTATAATAATTAACATATAACAATCAAAAAAAAAGTAAATTTAATTCAATTTAATGATTATCAATCCAGAGTTCATTTTTTTATTTTATACAGAGTTAACTAAAGATTATCCATTTATAAATAAAATATATTTATTAAATAAAGATTAAATATTTATTACATCAATTTTTTAAAATAAAAAAAAAAAAAAAATATAAATCATTACTAAAGCAGTGGATATGTATTTTTATAAAATTATTATGAGCAATAATGTTGGAAATAATATTTTTGATTTGATGACGAATTTAACTCTTGGTCAAGATTGTTTCCCTTTCCACTTGAGCTACCACCACCACTTGAAAAACCACTTGCACCACTAGAGCCACCTCCACTTGCATGATTACCACTAAAACTACCGCTATTACTGCCGCTATAAATACCGGTACCACCAGAGCTCGATAAGATATTGGATGAAGAGGAGTTATAAAAAGGAACTGTTTGAACACAAATTTGTAACAATGGTACTGGATCGTGGCATTCATTTTTTAAACAGGTTACATAATATGGAGCTTGGTTGATACAGTAATAAAATAAAGTTAATCCGTTCAATGAATCGGTATTTGTACCATTGATGACATATTCTGATAAAAGTATATTTTCGGGTTCACAGCTATCTCTCATAAATGAGATGGATGCTGAATTTGGTTGTACAACTGGAGATGATGATACGGTTACTTTAAAATAATAATCTTTATCATCTGCGGACATTGCTTGGTTTAATGTTATTTGATTTTGGGGAACACATGAATTGATTTTAAATGATTTTGGACTACCGACACTTGAATCACATTTTTCCATATCATAAAATAAATACTTTTTCCATACAACACTTTGCGATTCCTTATCGATTGTAAATATAAAGTTATTTTGATAATCCAATGTAGTGCATGTATCTATAACTGCCGAATAACCTACACCGTATACAGCTGTTTCTTTTGAGGTGCATTGTGGGTCATTGTAAACCTCCAAATTTACAAACTGTAATGCTGTTGTTATTGAAATAAAATAAGATAAAAATAATATAAAATAATTAGTTTTCATTATTTATATAATATTGAGGTTTATAGAAAATAATAAATAATAAAAAAAACCTTTTTATATTTTTTTTTTTTTAAAATTTTTTTTTTAAAATCAGATATTATTTTAAAAATATCATGATTTTATTTAAGTTTTATTGTAATACGGGGATTTTATTGAAAAAATAGGTTGTCATGTCGAGGTTTATTTGTTGATATTATAGTATCAACACATAAACAAAATAAAAAATTGAAAAAATATATATATTTTATTTTTTTATTTAAATATCTAAAAATTGAAAATTATGGGTTAAAACATTCTCAATGTGATTTTATGTATTTTTAACAGTCATTTATATAATAGAAATAAAATTATTATTATTTGTATTTATTTTGAAAAAAAAAAAAAAAAATATAAAAATAAAATTAAAAATTTTTTTATTTTCATTTTTTTTTTTTTTTTGCAAATTTTTTATTTTTTTCAAATTTTTTTTTTTTTACATTTTATATTAAATTAATTAATCACAAATAATTTATATATTTTGTAAATTATTAATTATCGAATAATAATAAAAAAATGCAAACTCCACCAACCTATTTTGAAAAATCACAATATATAGAAACATTAAATGGAAATAAAGTTAGTAAATCATCAATACTGTGTGGTATTATGAATATCAGATTACATGGTAAAACTATAATAAAACCGGGTGTCATTGTAAGGGGAGATTTGGCAACAGTAAATATAGGGAGACTATCGATTGTTTCAGAGAATACCGTAATTAGACCCTCTTCAAAGAAATTTAAAGGCTCAATAGTTTATTTTCCACAAAATATAGGTGATCATGTTTTTATAGGCGAGGGTTGTGTAATTTCAGCTGCAAGTATAGGTTCACAGGTTTATATTGGTAAAAATTGTATTATAGTAAAGTATCTCATCAATACAAATTAAATAATTAAATAAATTAAACCATACTAACCATTTATTTACAGTCAAAGAGATGTATATTGAAAGATTGTTGTATAATAGAGGACGGTACTATTTTACCTCCAGACACTGTTGTACCACCATTTACATATTATTCAGGAGTACCAGGTGTTTATAAAGAGGATTTACCAGATTGTACAGATGTTTTTCAAAAAGATTATACAACATCACTATATGAATCATTTTTACCAAATATTCCAAAACCATCAACTTCAGGTTCACCAATAAAACCTGTTACAATAAGTTAAATATTTAAATAAATAAATAAAATAAATTAATAAATAAAATAAATAAATAAATAATAAACCTATATTTAATTTTGGATTTAAAGATTAATGTTTTTATCAGAAAACAACAACAACAAAATGTATTATTAATTTTTTGGTAGTAATATAATAAAAAATAAAAAAAGAAATTAAATCTTTTTTTTGGAAAAAACATAATGGTGTTTTCTTTTAAAACATCATATTGTTATTTAAATCTGTATTTTTTTTTTTTCTTTTTTTTTTTTTTTGAACAAATTATATTAATCTAATAAAAATAAATTTGTAATGGTGTGTGTGTTTAAACGTCTTATAAACCCCATTCATTAAATTAATGTTTTTTTTTTTTTTTATTATTTTTTTTTTTTATTTAATTTTTTTTTTTATTATTATTATTTTCTTTCATTCATTTAAAATTTATTTTTAAAAGTTAATAAAGAAAATAAAATTTTTTAATTATATATAAATAATGGAATATCATAATTATGATTATTTTCAAGAAGTTTATAATTACATTAATATTTATTACCCAAATCATATAGATCAGTTTTTAATCAATTTTGAAAATGCAGAAAAAGAAACATTTAACAAACTACTGGTTTCAATTATTAGAGAAAGATTATTTGAATTTACAAACCAATTAAATTTAAAGCCCAAACAATTCAATAAATTTCAATTTACATCATCAAGCAATCCAGATAGAGTTCAGGAAATATCATTTCAAATAGAGAGCGTGTTCGGCTTTGACTTTTTCACATTTAAACATCCAATAACTTATTGTAGCAATGTTTCAAAAAGAGAAGAGTCTAATTATACAGTTGAAAATTGTCTCGAGCTCATAGAATTGTTAAAACAAAACCCAAATTATAAAGATGTCGACCAATATAAAGTAGAAATTGTAAATAGTATTTCAAATATGGTTTTAATTTCCACATTTTGTTCAAGTTTTCAAGATAGAGTCAAAGCAAAATCACACCAAAATGGTTGGAGTTACCTTTCAGATTACACAAATTACAAATCAAAAAATAACCCCAAGTTTGACAAGTTTTTGTTTTATGACCAAATTCATTTAAATGGCCATCATATCCATCCAAGTTTTAAGTTAAGATTGGGGTTAAACTGTCCTCAAGTTGTACAGTATGCATATGAATTAAGAAAAGCCGTTCCCATTAGATTTATTGGTTTACATAAGTCAGTTGCAAGATTCAGTTTAATGGATCCAAAAGACAATCCTACAGATTACTTTTTTAGACTATTTCCATTTGTCAAAGAGCCCATAGAGTCCCATTGCAAAGAAATCGGTATTAATAAAGAGGATTATATAATATATCCAATGTACCCATTTCAAATTACCAATACATTCCCCAACAACTTTAAAAATGAAATTTCAAATGGTACTTTAATTATATTCCCAGAGTCAATTCAAGTTGCATCATTCCCAACCTCATCTTTAAGAAATTTAATACCAGTAACAGAAAATAATAATTACCCACCACATATCAAATTTTCAGTACCAATTCAAACAACCAATTTTGTAAGATTTATGCCCAATGAATTTATTACCATAGGAACATCAGTATCAAAACTTTTAGAAAGAATTAATGAAATTGAAATGAAAACATTTAAAAACAAAGTGGTATTTTTAAATGAAATAGGTGGTATCTATCATTCTAATACTGAACTTAAATACCAAAACTTTGCAGTCATATGGAAGGATAATTGCAATCTTTTTTTAACATCCCCAAATGAACAGCCAATAAGCTCATGCTCCTTATTTAATCAATCACTTGTATCTGAATACACAATTCTTGGGGAATTGGTTATGCAATTCCACAACAGCTCAGTAAATAAAAAGAACAAAATTCAAAACTCAATTCAGAATTGGTTTAGATTATACACAAAGCTTTTGATAGAACCAAATTTATTATTACTAACAAAATATGGTGTAGCTTTAGAATCTCATCTTCAAAATTCAGTTGTGGTATATGAAGATGGTGAACCCAAACTTATGATTCATAAAGATTGGTCTGGTATTGTAATTAAAAATGAAAGATTAAAAAAACATAAAGATATTATAGATATATCTTTAATAGAATCAATCCCAAAAGAAATCAAACTCGGTGACATGGAATTTTACAAAATGTTTTCACACTCGATACTCCATAATAACATATGCCAAATAATTATTTCACTATGTAAAGAGTTTCCACAGCATATCGATGAAAAAACCTTATGGAATGAAACATTCAATATCTTCAACAACACCTTTGATAGCATTGACAAAAATGACACAATTTATCAAAACAGTGTCAAAGAAGATAAAAACTCTTTGTATGGAAAAGAATTAAAATGCAAAGCATTGACTGGAATGAGACTATTAACCAAAAATCAAATCCTCTTACCATTTAATGTTAAAAACCCTTTGCACCAATTTACAAATTAAAAAAATAAAAAATAAAAATATTTTTATTTTTAAAATTTAAATTATTAATAATTACTTTTAAACAATAATCTAAAAATATTTTTTTTGGGTGGGTGATTTTTTTTTTTATTTTTTTTAATTTCTAAAACAATATTAATAAAAAAAAGGGTTAATTTTTTTTTGAAATAAATTTTGTGGTTTATGTAAAAATTTTTTTTTTTTTTTAAATAATAAATTATTTATTATATTTTTACAAAATTAAAAATGCAAGCAAATGAATATAGTTTCTTCATTAAACCTGCAACAATAGAGGATTTACCAATAGTTTATAAACAAATTTTAGAATTAGTAGAGTATCAGAACTATACTCCAAAGGTATGAAATAAATTTATAAATAAAGAAAAAAATTTATACTAAATTTAAAATTTAGTATAAAGAACCAATTCAAAATTTAGAAAAGTATGCTTTTGGAAAAGATAAGATAATCCACATATATTGTGGGTGGTTAGTCCCTTTTGATAATCCTAAAGAGGGTGTAATTGTAGGATATACGATTCACTTTTTAAATTTTTCAACTTTTTATTTAAGACCTGGTATATATTTAGAGGATATATACGTAAAAGATGAATATAGGGGCTGTGGCTATGGGAAAAAGATGTTATTGAACCTATGTAAAATTGCCAAAGAAAATAACTATACCTACGTAGAGTTACAAGTTTTAGAATCAAATAAATCATCTATTCAATTTTATGAATTGCTAAAAGGTAAACCTGTAAATGGTTGGATCCAATATCGTTTAGAAAATGATGGTTTCGAAAAATATTTAAAAGATAATTAAATAAAGAAAAAGGGTTTTTTTTCTTTAAATATGAGTTTTTTAATTTATATTTTATTTTATTATTTTTTTATTTTATTAGTTATTGGGTATATTTAAGAAAAAACATAAATATATTAATGCTGTGGTTATAATTAAAAGAATTATTGATATAATGATTTTTAAATATAATTTGTAATGGTCTATATTTGGCTTTGCGGGGTTGTTTGTATGAGGATCAGTGGTATCATATGATGTGGTGAATTCATATGACCTTAATGCCTCTCCATTTAAAGTATCGAGTATTTCTATATTATAATGGCAGTTAAGACACCTATACAAATTTGAGAAATCTAATGAAATTTTTGAACCTTTAATATGAATATTTGATAAATTTCCACATACTAAACTATTGGATAAAATATATGAATTTGTAATTATTATAAAACTATTTTTTGAAAATATAAATTTATAATTATTTTGAAGTGTTGGTGGAAATAATAAAGGATTTTCAATTGTAATATTCGCGAATTCAATTGAAAAACTTTTAGATATTACTAAATAATTATTGTTATTGAATATTTGATTGTTTTGAAAAATACTATTTGAAAAAAGTGATCTATAGTTTATATAATCATAATGTGATTTATGTAAATTTATTAAACTATATTCATAGTTGTTATTATTGTAGTTTATAATTTTATTACTCGAAAATAAATTATTATCAAATAGAAAATATATATTATTGCCTTGTTGAAGTGTATCTATTTGATCTTGATTACCATCAAATGTTATTATTGAACCTGTATTATTATTTACTATATTAAAATTAAAATACAAAAGTGAATTTTTAACTGAAATAAAACTATTAACTGTATCTATATTCTGGGAGAAACTATTATTATAATTATTATATTGATTATTATTGATTATTGTATTATTATAAAATACTGATGAAAAAAAATGAGTTAAATAATAGCTAAAGTTTGTACCATTAATAACACCAATTTCATTATTAATGAATGATTTTGAACTAATGGTATTGTTATTAAAAAAACTATATGTAAAAATTACTTTTAAATTATTAAATTGTAGTGGTGATTTATTATTATTATTATAGTTTATATTTGTAAAATTGCAAAAATCACACTGGAACATTGGCGAGTTTCCTCTATCTAGGGGTATTTTCGTTGTAATTTTATTGACTACTGATACTATTCCTATATTTTTGATATTATTAAATGATGAGTTTACAATCAAAACTTTATTAAATTCTTTATTGGTAGATTGAAAATTTAAAATATATTGATTATTCCAATTTACAGGGTTTATATTATTACTTTTCCAATTTATAAAATTGATACTATTAATAAGAAAAATATTTGGATAACTTAAACCAACTAATTTATTTATATTGCTTGATAAAAAATATTGATTTGGACTACTATTTCCACCATCAATAAAAACTTGACTTGGACTATCTGAAGAATTGAATTTGAATGAATGATAATTTTGAATGACTATTTCATTGAATGTATCTATGTCACCAAGTAAATTATTATTATTGACGTAATATATACCATCGCTAATTATAATTGTTAACTTTTCAAACAATTTTAAAAAACTGTAATTATTATTATCAGCTTTATTTATTCTTATAAATTCTCTAATTTTAATTCCTAAAGAAAAGTTAATATCCGAATGATATCATTGTATTATTTTATTGAAGTACATACCAGTCTCTAAGAATGATTTGCATGGTGGTGTGTTTGGGTTGGTAGTGGTTACACAACCACACTCTCCGTTATTGTAATTTATATTTGAGTTTACATCGACATAACACTCTAGTGAAGAAACAAAATAAATATTTTCATATAAAAACAATAAGTTTATAAGAAATATTAAAAATAATTTTATCATCTATTTATATATTTTTTTTTATTTATTTATTTTTTTTGAACCATTTTTAATTTAAAAATAAAAAAAAATAAAAAATTTTTTTTTTTTTTTTTTTTTTTATTTTTTATTATTTTTTTTTTTTAAATTAATTTTTTTTTTTTTAAATTAAAAATAATCATATTTAGAAAAATAATAATAATAACAATAATAACAATAATAAATAAAAATGAATGATATTACTTTAAAAAATAATAATTTATTAGTAATATCATTACTATATTTAAAAGATTATTTAAAAGAGAATGATCTTTATGTAATTTTATCATTAAATAAATCCTATTATAATAGTTTCAAAAATATATATAATAATAACAACTACTATAATAACGGAGATAGCTTTTATAAATCACTCTATAACAACTATTTAAATTTATATTTAAAAATTTTTAAATCATTATCAATTAAAACTATAAATAATAATAACTGGTGGGAAATAGTGGTATCATCCAATAACAATAGTAGTAATAAACAAATACAATCAATAAAAGAAAATTTTGAACAGTTTACACTTTTAAAATCAAATTTCAACACAATAACAGAAAAATATAATTTTCTATTACAATGCAAATTCAATTTACACCGTTATTTAGATAATAATGAAAGTTATATATCAATAGTAAGAAATGAAAAGATATCAACTTTAGAAAGAGTAATTTGTTTTTCAATAATATTTCAACAAGATCAATTTTTATATTTCCTAATAAAGATAATTGTAACCATATATAATATAAATGTAAATAGTAATAATAATAATAATAGCAATAACTTTAATAATAACAATAATATCAACACCAATAATTTAAACAGTAGTACATCAAATAGAATATCCATCAATCAAAATAATTTATTATTATTACAGTTTAATCAATCATTACCAACCTTAAATGAATTTTTAGTATTAAATAAATGTATAGAATTTAAATCATTAAACTGGCTCAACAACCTAAAGATCTATCCAATTTATTTTACAATTGCTAAAGGAAATGTGAATTTATTGAAGTTTCTTTTAAATATTTTGAATGGGATTTACAGTAATATCAATACTCTTAAACTACCCAACACCAATAGATCACCTCTATTTTATGCCACCACTAGAGAAATGACATTACTTTTATTGCAACTGGGCTGTAAAATCAACGATGTAGATTACAAAGGTATGCTTCCAATCCACTTTCACTCATTAAATGGCCATATAGATGTAGTCAAGTGTCTCATTGACGATTCAACCATCAATGCTCAAGACTCAACACAAAACACTCCTTTACATTTATCTGCATTATGTGGTCATTTAAGTTTAATTAAAACACTTTTAAGCAACGGTGCTAGAATCAACATCGAAAACTCGCAAGGTCGTCTTCCAATACATAATGCTTGTATGAATGCAGGTGGAAATAGTGAATTGATAAAATTTTTTATTGACTTATATTCCAAAATGACTGTTAGAACTGGCTTAAAAACTTCTGGCGGCTCTTTAAATCAAGTTACTATTTTAATACCAGATAAAGAAAAAAATACACCTATGGATTTATTAGTTTTAAACAATCATTTTTCAAACGCTATAGAATTATTAAAATATGAAGGATGTAAGTATTTATGGATAATTAGATAATTATAATCAGCAAAATCTTTTTTTATTTAATACTAACAATATTATTTTATCTAGATATTTTAAATAAAAATGAATTTAATTTAAAAAATGCAAGAAAAATTGGATCTGGTGCATTTGGTGATGTTTATTTATTAGAATGGAGAAACAAGAATGTTGCAATTAAAAGAGTAAAAATTGAAAAAATTTTAGAATCTGGTAAAACTTTTAATTGGGTTAGAGATAAATTTATTTTAGAAGTTGTATTAATGGTGTATGTGTATATATTTATATAAATTAATCTTTTTAATTTTTTATTAACAAAAATACAATATTATCTTTTTATTTTTTATAGCAAACTATCAAGCTTTTCAAATTTTGTAAAACTATATGGTACTTGTATCGAAGATGATGAATTATTATTAATATTAGAATATTGCGATAATAGTAGTTTATTTAATATTCTAAACACTATTGGAAATGAAAATGTTGTACAATCACTACCAGCAATCAATACACTATCACTAAATATTGCAAATGGAATGAATTATTTACACAGTTTAAAACCACAAATTATTCACAGAGATTTAACAAGCCAAAATATTTTAATTGATAAAAACGGCGTTGCAAAGATTGCAGATTTAGGTATTTCCAGGTTCAAAAATGAATTGGGCGATAAAACAATGACTTCAATTGGTAATCCACGTTGGAGAGCTCCCGAGGTAACAAAAGGCCAAAAGTATAGCGAAAAAGTCGATGTCTTTGGATTTGGTATGATTTTATACGAGATGTTTACTAGAAGAGTACCATTCCACGAACACGAACAAGTTCAGGCTTCATTTAAAATTGCAAGTGGCGAACGTCCTACACTTCCTTCCTCTGTAGATTCAAGATGGATCAATCTAATTCAGCTATGTTGGGATCAAAATCCAAACAACAGACCTTCATTCGCACAAATTCTAGATATTATCCAAAACTTACCAATCGCTTTTATTCCAAAGGTTTTAAATTCTATAGCCCAACCTACACTTGTTAATCAAAATAACGCTGTTTCTGCCAAGTTGTCATTATCTACAAGCGGTACTCTCTTTGGTGGTGATTCTGACTATACTGTTGGAACCTATTCAATCGGTTCTTATGATGTTGGTTATGATAACGATGGTGATAACTATAGTGAATCAAGTAATATAAATAATAGTAACAGTAATAGCAATAGCAATAGCAATAATTTAAATAATAGTAGTAATTATGATGAAATGGAAGAATAATTATAAATAATAACAATACCAATAACAGTAATAACAATAATAAAATTTTGTGTTATATTTAATATTACTCAGCATGCTAGATAATATTTATAAATTTTATAACCCTCCATAACTATTATATAAATTTTTATTTGATTGTATATTTCATCTATTTTTAAAAAAAAAAGTGGGGGTATTGACATATGTACAAAAAATGTGTGTTGACATACAGATAAAAATATTTTTATTTAAATATTATTTTTATTTAATTTTTTAAAATTATCTCTTTTTTTTTTTTTTTTTTTTTTATTATTTATTTAATTTTTTTTATCCTTCCTTTTTTTTATTTTCTTTATTTTTATCTAACAAAATTCTTTAACCTTTTTTTCTAGAAAAACTTTTAAACATATCTAAAAATGCCAACTGCAATGTGTTTATTAAAAGGTCCAGTAGTTAGTGGCTGGGTTAAATTTTATCAAGAATGTGAAAGTAGACCTGTAGCTATAGAATATGAAATTACTGGTTTATCATCAGGTATTTTTTTTATTAAATTTATTTTCTAAAAAATATTTAAAAATTACTAATATCCCATTTTAAACCTTAGGCAAACACGGTTTCCACATTCATACTTTTGGTGATACAAGTAATGGATGTATATCTGCAGGTCGTAAGTATACTAATTTCTAAAACCTTTCTGATTTTATTAATTATACTAATATATAATTTTTCTAAAGCACATTATAATCCATTTGGAAAGACACATGGTGGAAGTAACGATATTGTAAAAATTGAAAAAAAAAAAATCTTTTCAAAATAATTTAACTAATAAATAATTTTTTTAAATCTAGAATCGTCATGTTGGTGATTTAGGAAATATTATTGCAACTGGGGGTACATGCAAAGGAACATTTACAGATAATGTAATTTCTCTTCTTAATTGTCAGTATAGTATCGTTGGTCGTACTGTAGTTGTTCATGCTGATGAAGATGATTTGGGTAAAGGAGGTCACGAAGATAGTTTAACTACCGGACATGCCGGTGCACGTATTGCATGCGGTGTAATTGGTTGGATAAACTAAAATCTTTTGATTTTATTATTTTTTGTAATAATTTAAATAAAAAAATAATGATATAGAATAAATAAATAAATAGTTTATTATTTAATTTTATATTTAATATAGTTTTATGAGTATTAAACTAACAATAATAAAAATGCAATGGCTATTAATAGAGGATTATATATACATTTAGATGAGATATTGTTAAAACCTAGAGCTGATCCACCCATAATTGTGTCCCATTTTATTTTTGATGGTCTTGAACCTTCGAATGAAGTAACAAGGAACACATAAGTGTCATCAATATACTCCTTAATAAAAGTAGAACCATATTTCTTTGCATTATAACCAGAACTATTGGTGTAAACACATTTTATTTCATTTAAGGAACTATTTTCTACTTGGATATTTGCTGTTTTAGCCCATTCGAAATTCACAGAGAGACCCAAGTCATTATTAACAGATACCTTTTCCTCTAATACCTCCATTCCACTCCTAGCTACTAGGAAAGAAAGCAAAGCAAGATTTGAATTTTTATTTGAAGGGCCAGAATAACATGAAGTAGGATAGCATGGGAAAGTATGATTATAATAATTATATATACCAATATCTATTTTACTTTGAGAACTAGATAATAAAGTACCATTGATTTTAATTGGGTTTTCGGATATGGTATAATTTATTTGAAAGAGTCCAGTGCTACTTGCAACACTAATATGATAAACTTTGAATTTCATGCCATCAGAGTTCTCTAATTCACCACTCTCAATTTCATATTGGAACTCTAAAGTTGCAAGATTAATTGTCCTAACAATTTCATCCTCATCAATTTGAAGACCTGGTTTTTTATTATTTTCGACATACTCTACTATATAAGTTGGAACATATATAAAGGGGATCCAGTCTTTAATTGAGAGAGTATAGAACCATTTTAAACGAGGATAATTTGTGGTTTGGTTTGAATAAGCAAAGGTTGAGGTATCTTCGGTATAATTACCAGTATAATTAGTACTAATTTTACCCTCTTTTGATGTACCAACAAAACTATAACCATCTATTAAATAAAATCCCTCATAATAACGGACAACATCATTATTTGATGAAATTGGTGTGATATCTGAATCTTTTTTACGTATGGAACAAAGTTAATTTATTTTCATTTTTAAATAATAAAAAAATTTTACCTACCATTTAAAAAACCTCCATAAACATTACTACTAAAAATAAATATTAAAAGTGATATATAAAATAACTTAACCATTTTGTTTTTCTTTGTCGAAAATAAAATTTGTTTTTTTATTTATACTTTTTTTTTTTTGAAAAAATGGTTTAAACCATTTTTTTTTTATATAATAATTATTATAAAATAATATTTCTATAAAAAAAAAAACTAAAATCTATATAATATATTTCTAAATTTTTTTTATAAAAAAAATTTTAACCCATTTGATTACTATTTATTTATACCGGAAATTTTTATAAAATAAAAAGTAGTAAACAATGAAAAAAAACTCACTAAAAAACAAACATATTTGAAAATATTTCTCGATATAAATTTACCCCTATTTACAAATTTTAGATAAAAATTAAACTTTGGGTAAAAATATAGTAAAGTATTTTATTGGTTTGAAATTTAAAGTTTGAATGTTATTTCGATAGATAGTTTTAATGGTGATAATGTGTTTGATAATATTGTTGATTTGGTATGTGTTAAAATGGCGGAAATCTATTACCCACGTTAATAATTTGATTCCATTATATCTTATAAAAAACTTAACTCTGAATTGATAATCATTAAATTGAACTAAATTTAGTTGGTGTGTGTGGTAAAATGGTGTGATTATACTGCTGGATTTTGACTTTGAAAGCGATTGGTGTTATGGTTGTAAGGTGTGTTAATACTGCTGAAATATGACTTTGGGTGTGATGGTTGATGTGATTGTTGATGTGATGGTTGTAAAGGGTGTTATACTGTTGGAATACGACTTTGAAGAAATGTGGCGGTGGCGGTGAATTAAAAAGATGTAAACTTAAAAAGAAAAACGTGGCTCTGGTTTTTTGTTATGGTTAAGTTGAATGTTGTGCACTTTGTTGCTGAATATATGATCGTAAAAACCCCGACGTTAGATTAGACTATAAACTGAAAACTTATTGGTATTGAGGAATAAAGAATTGGAACTAGGCTAAATAAATAAATGAAAAAGTAAAATATTAGTTTTTTATATTCATATATAAAAATAACTATGTAAATGTTATTATTGTAGTTACCTTTTTGGTTTCTTTACTAATAATTAGAACTGGAAGATTTTGTATTTTTAGGCCGTTTTTTTCTTTTTCTGTAGAGCTGAACTGTATGATTGCTATATTTATTTTACATGTTGATAATGATGTGACTTTGAAATCTTTTGAGAAACTTACGAATGATGTGGAAGGCGGCAGTTGATACTATTAAATGAAAATTTGAAAGGAATGATATAATTAATAATTAACTCTTCATCGATTCGCAAAATGAAACTTCGAATAAAGTGTGTTAATTATTAATTTAATCTCCATCAATTTCATGATTAATCAATATCAAAATATTCATCAAATATTGCGTCGTGAATATTATCTAAAAAACGACGACGCAATAAAATGTGGTAAATAAGTTCTCTATGATCAACGATTTCTTCACGGGAGTCATCATCAGAGCCATCGGAATCATCATAGACCTGATTATCTAAATTTTGTTCGTGGGCTCTATTTTCAACATCCTCTACAATGATTGTATCATGGCCATCTCTCTACAAATAAATAATGAAAAAAATTAATATATATTTTTTATATTTATAAAGTTTAAATATGAATGTATGAATTAACTTACTTTAATTGTATTAAATCTTTCTCTACAGAATGGGCAAGTATTTTTTATTTTGTACCATGTATTTATGCAATCAATACAGAATTTGTGACCACAATCTACGGTGGCAATGTTCTCGGTCTCCATATCTTCGTAACAAATGTAACATTTGTTATCTTCTTGTTCTTCTTGTTCTTCCTGTTCTTTTAGTTTTTGTTCCTGTTCCAATCTTTTTTTTTCTAATTGTTCATTTATTTTACGTTCCTCTTCTATTTTTTCTAATCTTTCTTTTTCTTCACGCTCTCTTTTTAATCTCTCCATTTCCTCTTTTTCCCTTTCCAATTTTTCCATTTCTTCTTTTTCTGCTTGGACCCTTTTTAATTGTTCTTCATCTTCAAATTTATGTTTTTTATTGGATCCCATATTTTTTCCTAAATATTCTTCATCATCGGACTCCAATGATCTCTTCTTTATTGGGGCGCTACTGGTAGATGTTGGGACAGCTTTTGATTTGGAAGCAGCGGTACTATGACGAGAATGTGCTCTATTTATTGTTGGGTAGTTATGAGCACTTGAAGATGAATGTGTTGGTTGTGGGTGCTGTTGTGGCTGAGTGGTTGATGGAACATCAACAGCGGCAGTATAACGTGAGTGGGTTGTGTCAAAAGATGGGTAACTGTTGGCTTGACCCCTTGAAGCTGGAAATTGTTGTGGGTGTTGTTGTGGCTCGGTGGTTGGTGGAACATCAACAGCGGCAGTATACCGCGAGTGAGTTGTATCAAAAGATGGGTAGTAGTTGGCTTGACCCCTTGAACCTGGAAATTGTTGAGATTGTTGTTGTGGCTCGGTGGTTGGTGGAACATCAACAGCGGCAGTATAACGTGAGTTAGTTCTATCAAAAGATGGATAACTGCTGGCTTGACCCCTTGAACCTGGAAATTGTTGAGATTGTTGTTGTGGCTCGGTGGTTGGTGGAACATCAACATGGGCAGTAAAACGTGAGTTAGTTCTATCAAAAGATGGATAACTGCTGGCTTAACCCCTTGAATCTGGAAATTGTTGTTGTGATTCTTGTGATTCTTCTTCTTGTTCTTCCTGTTGTTGTTTTTCGTATTCATGAAGACTTTGAATAAGTTTTTTATAATCTGGGGTTGAAGCAGGACGTTTTGGTTGTGACTGTGGCTGTGGTTGTGATTGTACTGGTACTTCTTCTGGTACTTCTTCTTGTTGTTGTGGTTGTTGTGTTTGTTGTGTTTGTCTTTCTATTGGAGCAGTATACTGGGTTGGTGTATTTTGATGTGGGTTGGTGTTGCTATTGTTATTGTTGCTAGAGTTATCATCGGTGTTGTTGTTATTGTTGTTGGATGAACGTTTATTTACAAAAAAGCTGATTAAAATACCGATGATAGCAACTAAAAATATATATAAAATTGTTAAATAATTCATTTTATATTATATTATGATTATTAAATAATAGTGATTCGCAAGTTATTATTTAATGATTGTTGTAATTATTTAATATAAAAAGCTATGATATTAAATTTTATTATTTTTTTTTTTTTTTGTTATTATATAAAAAGATAAAAAATTATTTGTATGAAGATAAAATAATAAAGAAAAAAAAAAAAAATTTTTGCGACGAAAATTAAAAAAAAAAACTTTAAATTTAAAAAAACTTTAAATTAAAAACTTTAAATTTAAAAAAAAAAAAAATTTTGAAATTATAAATTATATGTGGTTACCCACACACAAGGTTTTTTATTGGTGGTATAAATTAAACAGTGTTTCCGCAAAAGCAAATCCCCAATTTAGGAACATCGTGATTATTAAAAAAAAATTAAAGAACTTTATAAATTTTTGAAATAGAAAAATTAAAAAGGTTTTTCCTTTTTTTGAATACCCCAACTTTTGGTTTTTTTTGGTTAAATTTTTTTTTTTTACCGGAAAATTTTTTAAATTTTGGTTTTTTTTTTTTTAATAAACAAAAAAAAAAAAAAAAAAAAAATTTTTTTTTTTTTTTTTTTTTTTTTTTTTTTTTTTTTTTTTTTTTTTTTTTATAATATTTAAAAATACATTATTTTTTTAAAAATAAAAATATGATAATGTAAAATATATATATAAACAACATTATAATCATGTTTTAAACAAACAAACATATCAGAGATAGTAATGGTAGTTTTTTTTTTTTTTTTTTCAAAATATTAAATAATTCTTTTCTTTTTTTTAAATTTTTTTTATTTAGATAATTTAATATAAAATACACCCACCAACTTTTAGAAATCAACTATAGTGCAGTATATTATTTAATTTTGTTAATAGATTAACTTTAATAGTTGTTTTGGCCTCGTATCAAATTAAAATCTATTGTTAAATTTGAAATATAATAATAGTTTTTTTTTGATCATCACAATGTTCCCTAATTGTGCATTTACTTTCATTTTGCAGAACACACTCTTTAATTTAGCCTAATTCCAACTCTTTATACCTCAATATCAATAAGTTTTCAGTTTAATCTAACCTCGGGGTTTTTACGATCAAAAATTCAGCAACAAAGTGCAGGATATTCAACTTAACCATTATTTAAAACCAGAGCCTTGTTTTTCCCTCATAGTCATAATCCAGCAGTATAAACGCCCTTTGCAGCCATCAATAATTGTAATCAAAGCGGTAATCAGTATAAAAACACTTTATCAAGATCTTTCAATTTTAAATAAATAATTTTATTGTAAACTTTTTTATTTCCTTTCAAATTTTTTATTTTATCACACAAAACACATTAATATATTTTTAAAACCATTGCAGATACAATGAAGCAATAATTATAATAATAATAAAAACATTAATAATAATAATGGAAATGATAATTATAAAATTAATATTTATTATATCCTCCATTTGCTTTATATATTGTATCGATTTAGTCAGGAAGTGATTGGAACTTTAATTCATCCATAAACATATGATTTTTCCATTGCTACACAATAAAACTTATACACACTTCATAAAAAATGTTTTTCTTCTATTATCCTAATAATCGAGGTTTCATAACTTTCTTTTTATTACTATGTATGTCTCTTTAATTCATTCTTACTGATTAGTTTAATATTGTACCATACCATATTATACTTTATTTTATATTGTTAAATTTACTTTTTAAAAAATTGAAACATAAACACATTTATCACCTTCGTCAAACTTTTTTTTTCTCCCAATATGTTGAACGTCAATGATTGTACCTGTTTGGTCCACTATTTCTAATGTTTTTACTACTGTTGGTTTATGCACACCCAATATTTTTGCAATTTTTGAGTTCGACCTATGACCTCTATTTTTATACGATAATATTTACTATCCAACTTAACCACTTAACATCATTTTGTTTATAAAAAAGTAAGAAAATTTATTTAATCCCACAAAAATAAATTTTTTTTTAATCGCTCTATAATTCGAAATCCCATAAAAATCAATAGAAAACAAACAAATAAATAAATAAATAAAAACCAATTTATTAAAATTTTAGTTTTACAATAATTACATTTTATTTTTAAAAAAAATTATTTTTTTTGTTGTTTTCTTTTTTTTGTTTTTTTTTTTTTTTGTTTTTTTTGTTTTTCTTTCCTAATTAGTGTTTATTGTTATAGTGTTTTTTTTAATGAGTTAATTTTGAATATCTTTTAGTTGTTGAAGATGAATAAGAATCTTGTGAACGAACTTTAGCTGGTGGTCTACCTTCAATTGGAACATAATTTCTAAACCATTCACCCTTGTAAACTTGTCTTGGTCTATAGATTTTAGTTTCTGGATCTTCAAGATGTTCTACCCAATGAGCTAACCAACCAACAGCACGTGGAATAGTGAAAAGAACTGGGAACATATCAGTTGGGAAACCCATAGCTTTATAAATGAGACCACTGTAGAAATCTACATTTGGGTATAATTTTCTACTGACAAAGTATTCATCAGAGAGAGCTTGTTTTTCGAGTTCGGTGGCAACTTCGATTAATGGTTCTTTACCAAGTGATTCAAAGACTTCGTAAGCTACTCTTCTAATAATCTTAGCACGTGGATCGTAGTTCTTATAGATACGATGACCGAAACCCATTAATTTCTTCTTCTTGGCTTTGACATCAGCAATGAATTGTGGGATATTTTCTTTGGTACCAATATGAACCAACATATCTAATACAGCTTCGTTAGCACCACCATGGAGTGGACCATATAAAGCACCGGCAGCACCTGCAACTGATGTGTATGGATCAGTACCTGATGATGAGATGTGTCTCATGGCAGCAGTTGAGCAATTGAGTTCGTGATCGGCATGTAAAATGAATAAAATTTCTAAAGCACGGCATAAAACTGGATTTGGTTTATAGTCATTTTCTGATAATTTATCAAGCATATATAAAAAGTTTTCGGTATAACCTAAATGATTGACTGGTGTATTATATGGACGACCAATACGATGTCTCCATGCACAAGCTGCAATAGTTGGTAATTTACCAACAATTCTATAAATTTGTTTATTTCTAGCACTTTCACTTTTAAAAATATCTTGACCCTGTATTAAATTGAACGAATGAATGAATGAATGAATGAATGAATATTAATAAATAGTACAACTACTTTTAAAAAAAAACTAAAATACCTACAGCTAAAGCTGGGTTAGATTCTGGATAAAAAGTACCAAGAGCAGCTACAGTACTAATCAACATACCCATTGGATGAGCATCATATCTGAAAGTTTTCATAAGACCAACTAAATTTTCATGAAGAAAAGTATGAGTCATAATTTTGTGGCTCCAACCATCTAATTGAGATTTATTTGGTAAATTGCCATTAATTAATAAATAAGCAACCTCTAAGAAAGTTGATCTTTCTGCTAACTCTTCAATTGGATAACCTCTGTATCTTAAAATACCTTTATCACCATCAATATATGTGATATATGATGTAACAACAGCAGTATTTTGGAAACCTGGGTCATAAATCCTGTATAAAATGTAAAAATAATTAAATTAATATCCTTAAAAATCACATCTTGTACAAAATAAATATATTTCTCTACACATACATTAAACCACCATCTTCCTTATTTTCTGAAAGTTGTTTAAAATTGGTTGCATTTACTGTACCATTTTTGATTTTGAATTCGAAATTTTTACCAGTTCTATTGTCAGTAACTGAAATAGTTTCTTTTCTATAATAAATTAAATAAAAATTAGTAATTAAATAAATAAAAGCAATATGAAAAAACGAAAAAAGAAGAGAAAAAAAAAAAAAAAAAAAAAAAAAAAACTTTTGAACATGAATATTTTTTTTCATATTTAATTTTTTCTTGTTTTTTATTTTTTTGTTTTATTTTCTGTTTTTTTTTCGAAAAGATAATTTACTTATTAGCTGCAGAAACTGGTGAAACAATTAATTCTTCTTCCTCTTCCTCTTCTTTTGAGAGATGATTTGCAAGAACATTAATACGATCAATGTGTGACATGATTCTTAATTTATATATTATTAAAATTAATAATATTAATTATTAATTTTTTTTATATAAAATTTATATTTAAATATATAATATAGATAAAAATAAAAAATATAAAAAATATAAAAAAAATAAAAAAAATTAAAATAATAACAATAAATAAATTATAACAAACAAAGTGAAATTTTAAATAATTAATTAAAAAAAAAAAATAAAAAAAATAAAAAAATAAAAAAAAAAATAAAAAAAAAAATATAAAAATTTTTTTGAAAATATTTTTTATTAATTTTTTTAATAATTTTTTTCATTTTAATTATGGTGCTATGCACCCCTTAATATATATATTTATAATTCATGTTTATTGCTTATTATAAAATTGGATTGTGTGATTTATTCCTTTATTTACACTTTAAATTACGAAATTTTAGATGAAATAATATCATTTAAGATTAAATTTAATAATAAGATAAATAGAAATAATAAATTAAAAAAAAATAAATAAAAAAATTTGATGATTGAAATTTCGTTACTTTTATTTTTTATTTTTTTATTTTTCCAATATAAATATAAAACCAACTTTTTATTGCTTTTTTATTTGTTTGTCTCTCCTGGATGATCCAAAAAATAGATAATGACAATGATAGTTTTGGGTGTGTGTGTGTGTGTTTGAACTGTTATTTTTGATCTATTGGCAAATTTTATAAATTAATAATTTTTTTAAAAAAAAAAGTTAAAAAAAGAGATAATATTTTTTTAATAATATTTTAAATGAATACGCTAACGATAATTGGAAGAAAATGGTTATAATTATAATTTTAGAAGATTTATAGAAGGGTATACCGAGTTAAAATTAACCTTACTTCAAAAAGAAACTTCACAAAATTAGAAATTACCAAAGAAATAATTAATGATATTGTAAAGCTAAAAGAAGCTTTTGTTTCAGCACCAATATTAATGAATTAGCATTCAAAGAGATCAGAGGAAGCTAGATAGATGCCTGAAATGTAGGAACAGGTTGCATTGCTTAAAAGGATGACAATGGGGAAGAAATGGCAATTATGTATGATTCGAAGAAATTAGACAAACATCAAATCAACTATATTTTAAAGAAATATCAGTATATTTTAGTTTGTAACAAATTCATAGTTCACATAGACCACCCTAATTTAGTGAACTACCAAACAATGAAAGAAGCCCAATGTAGAATTATCAGATGGTTGGATTTGGTCAGTAGGTTCCAGTTTGAAATCAGGCACATAAAAGGTGAATTGAATTAAGTCGCAGATATGCTTAGAAGGTTTTATCTAGATTAGGAGAGTAGTTTTTTATGTCAAATTAGAAACGGTAAAAAGTGCATCAGAAAAAGATTCGAAATGGTTAGAAGCGTTTAAACAAAGAACTGATTTGGTAATAAAAAAGGAGGGTATTTTATAAACCAAATTCTGAAACTAGAAGAGTTATTATCGTAGTCAAAGAACAGAAAACAACAATTAATGAGCTCATTCAAATATGTACCCAGGCCATTCAAATGTTGTTTTTGATTCAACTTGTATAAACAAGGGACCAATGTTAACCCTTTTAATTTATCTTATAGCTTGTAAAGTTGGGCCAAAACTGATTGAGTAACCATGTGGCAACCGAATCAATAAACTCTTTCTGAAAATCAATATCAAATAATTCAAATTGTCTCAATATATAAAAAAAAAATAATAATCTAAAAAAAATATTATCAATAATAAAAATATTACAATAATAAAAATTATGTATAACACTCAAAGTAATCGTTTAGATATCTTTTTTTTTTAAAAAAAAGAATAAAATAAACTAAAATAAAATAAAACTGAATAAAATTTAAACTTTCTTTGCTAATTTCCAACGAATGGTTTATAAAAAATGGGTGGTACCAAAATTGAATGCATAAAAAAAAAATTTTATTATAACAATCACACAATTGCTTTTGAATGTGCAAAACCAAAACTAAAATTCAAAATAATTTTGGTGCTCATTCACACAAACAAACGATAATGATTGCTTTTTCACACTCACAAAAAATAAAAAAATAAAAACTTTTTGCATCTTTGCATCGCGTTAAATTTTAAAATTTTCAATGGAAAAGGTGTGTGTTAGAATTTTTTTCAACAAAAAACTGTTGATTTAAATCAACACAAAAATAAAAAATAAAAAATAAAAAATAAAATATTATAAAAAAAAAAAAAAAAAAAAAAAGAAGACCAATAAAACATTATAATTGTAAAATTTTAAATTTTTAGCAAAAAAAATATAAATCTGTGTCTTTCACTCAATTCAATAGCCAATAATAAAACCAGCTGGAAATACAGATATTTTTTTTTAAAAAAAAAAAAAAAAAAAAAAAAAAAATGGGGGGAAAAAAATACCATTGTAAGAAATTGAAAATTGCCCACATACACAAAAAAAAAAAAAACCTTTTCATTGGTTGTTTTTAAAAAAACCGAAATCATTTAAAAAAATATTATAAAAATTAAAAATAAAATAAAAAAAAAAAAATATTTTTTCTTAATGCCGAAATCATTTTATATTTAATTTTTTTTTTTTTTGTTACAACACGTATCTATGGTCCTGTATATTAAATTGTGAAAACGTAGAGGCTGGGGCATTCCCAATCATTTATCTTTGCTGAAAAAACTAAATATAAAAAAAAATAAATAAAAACTATTCACTAATAATAAAAAAAAAAAAAAATTAAATTAAAAAATAAAAAAAAACATCGATTATAACAATACCTTTTTTTTTTTTTTTTTTTTTTCTTCAATTTTCCCAATAACAAAAACAACAACATTAATTTATTTATATATCTATATTTATTATTATAATATTACTTTTTTTTATTTTTTTTATTTTTTTTTTTTAAACAGTTTCATCAACGAGATAGCAATTTTTTGGAATATTAAAGCTTGCTTAAATCAAACTTTGAAATACACTTTTTTTATATATCAAAATATTAATAATAATAACAATCATTATTATTCGTATATATATATAAAAAATCAATTTCAAAATTTAAAAACAACCCACAATTAATTTTGAAAAAAGAAAGATTTATTTAAACCGATTCAATAGTGTTTAATTCTTTCTTTTTCCAATTTTAAATTTAAAAACCCTTTATATTACACGTTGTTAAGCTTTAATAAGAAAAACTCCAATTCTAGCTCATCTCTTCTCTCGAATCCACTTGTTGGACAAGACTGCTTGCAGAAGAGCCTCCCCCTAGTAACCCTTCTCGTATTACTCGATAGAAGGATTTCTAGATTAAAGCCATAGCACTTTAATATATATATTTCAGTGAAGAGCTTTTAGAAACACGAAGAAAAAAATCTTTTAAAAAAAGAAAAAAACCACTTTTTTCTATTTTTATTGTTTTTTTTTTCTCATCAAATTTATTTTCTATTCAAATTACCTCCAAATTTGGCCAGAATTTAATTCCATTAAGCCAAGTTCTTAATATTCAATTGATATAGTCAATTTCTCATTTTCCTTGCGCTTTTTTTGGGTATAATCATTAGTCACAATGCTTTTTGCATTTCTCATTTAATAATTAACACTCAATCTTTTTTTTTTTTTTTTTTCCATTTCACTTTTTTTTTATTTCTCTTAAATACAATATATATATATATACAGTTATTTTCTTATTCATTTAAAGAAAATAGTTTATATAGTTTTTTCTTTTTTTTCTTTTTTCTTTTTTTTTTTCTCTTTTTTTTATTTTTATTTTATTTTTTTTTAAATTTTCAAATTATCTATTATATATTATAACCACTGTGTGTTTGTAAATAAATCAAATATAAAAATGCAAGATACCTTAATTAATATTCAAAATAACGAACCAGTTCCAGGTTATAAGGTTGAGTCAATTACTGAATATCAAATTAATCAAGTAAGTTTAAATTATTGTTTGAAAAACACTCACACCTACTAATTTAAAGTTTTTTTATTTTATTTTAGATCAATATGAATCAAAGTAAAAAGAGAAGTTCATTGATTTTATCTGCCCCTCAATCAGCTTCATCATCATCCGGTGAGGAAGATAATACCGTTAAAAAGAAAAAGAAAACCACCCCATCTAATACCACCAACGTAATTATTTTATTTATTTTTTTTAACTTTTCAAAAAATTAAATTTTAATTTTACTTTTACTTTGTTTCAATATTTTTCAACTAATAGGATGAAGAGGAGAAACCAAAAAGAACTAGAAAGAACGAAACTATTTGCACAGTTTGTGAAAAACCAGGTGATCTATTAATGTGTGACGGTCTTTGTTTAAGGTCATTCCATGTCAACTGCGTAGGTTCTGCCAATATCCATTTAAATACAAATCCAGACGGAAGTGTTCGTTGGGAATGTAACGATTGTGTTAACCAACAAAACTATTGTTTTTCATGCAAAAAGAGAGGTATTATTGGTATGGATTTAATGAAATGCAAGGTTCATCAATGTGGTAAATTTTATCATTATAAATGTGTTAGTGAATATAAACTTGCAAAGTTAATCAATACTAAAACCCCAAGATTCAATTGCCCACTCCATTATTGCGCCGTTTGTGAAGTCTCTGGTGATGGTAAGCAATCAGTTCATTGCTTCAGATGTCCAACAGCCTATCATGTTATCTGTATGCAACCAGGTGTTAAAATGCTTACAAAATCAAAAGAAACTCGTAAAACTGGTTTAATTCTTTGTCCAAAGCATATCAATGAACAAAATCCAAATTTATCAATGCAATCAAATATTTATCCCCAATCACATCAACATCAACATCAACATCAACACCAACACCAACACCAACACCAACATCAACACCAACATCAACATCAACATCAATCACAACCACCATATAGTCAAAGCCATCATGTTGGCCATTATAATCAAAATCATCAATCTATGGTATTAAATAATCTCCAATCATCATTAAATTCTAATCCATTGGGTAATAGTCTTGGTAGTAGTGGTGAAATTTATAATAATAATAATAATAATAATAATAATAATAATAATAATAATAATATTAGTAATAATATCAGTAATGGTATTAATAATAAAATTATATATAATAGTCAATATAATTTAAATAATAATTTACCAAAACAATTAAATAATAATAATAATAATAATAATAATAATAATTCAATCGAATCAAATAATATTAATCCATTATATTATTTAATGTATTCTTCACCTTTATCATCACCAACACATTTAAATTCACCACCATCCTCACCATCTTACCATTCAAACTATCCAACAATTAACAAATCATCATCCTCAAATAGTTTATCTTCTTCAATGGAAATCCCTTATGATGATAAATTTAATTATATTGGAAAATCTAAAAAAGATACCGGCAGTCTTTTCCCACTTAAGAAAAAACCCATTTCTGATGAACAACCATCCGTCTCTAATATCTCCTCAGTTAGTGACGATGATCTCTCGATTATTTCAAGTTTGGCATCAATCAAAGAAAAAGTTTTAATTACAAACAATAAGGCCGTTGACCACTCCAACAAAGATAAAAAAACTTTTTGTTTGGAACAAACCAAAATGGACGAAAGTAAATTGGTTGAACAATTTTTCCAATTTGCAAAATCAAGAAATTTCATAGTCTCAAATCATAATCAAACCCATCTTTTTAATAAAAAATTAAAATTATTTATTTTTTTTTTACCCCCCCCCCCCCCCAATTTTTTATTTTTTCCAAAAATTTTCCCCCCCCCCCCAATTTAAATTTCAAAAAAAATTTTAAATTAAAAAAAAAAAACTTTTAAAAAAAGGTTTTAAAAACACAAAAATTATTTTTTTTTTTTTTTTTTTTTTTTTTTGATTTTATTTAATATTTCTTTTTTTTTTTTTTTTTTTTTTTTTTTTTTTTTTATTAAATTATTTTTTTTTAATTTTTTTTTTTTATTTAAAATTTTTTTTTTTAAATAAAAAATAAAAAACAAAATTATATTTTTTAAAATTATTGTATAACTTTTTATATATATTCAGATATATGTGTATAATTAAATATAGTTTATATATTATATAAATTATATAGGTAATTATATATC